CCCCCCCCCCCCCCCCCCCCCCGGCGCGATCAACTGGATGAGCGAGGACGACGCCGCGAATGCGGGGAGTTGCAGGTGCTGCTGCGGAGAGGGAGAGAGAGCGGGTCGGCGAGGGCGTTGACGCGGAGCGGGGATGCGTTCGAGCGAGGGTCGATGCGCCGTGTGCGGGGTGGGGCTGCGGCTGTTTGGCCCTTGGTCGAGACGGCCGCTTTTCGTGCGCGGTGGGAGAAGTCCACGGCGCGCCGAAGACACCGCAAATTTGCAATATCACGACACGTCTCACACACTGCACGTGCGCGTCACGCCGCTGAGCTCCTATGCCGCTTCCGTGTCTCGCACGTTGATCTTGGCCTGCTTCCGGCCTGCTTCCGGCCTGCTTCCGGTCGCTCATCGTCTTCGCCCTCGTCGAGCAGTGGTCCGGCCACCAGCAACGCTACGCTGCACCCGCCCCGCCCGCATCCCCGTCGTCCAGCAGCTGCAACGCCGCTAGCTCGCCCAATGAGCGCCGAGCGCCAAGCCGCCAGCCTGGTCCGCGAGGTCAGTCCTGGCGTCCATAGCCGAAAATACGACCCATCACCATGCTCAACCGCCCCTCGCTTCCCCGCGCAGTAGTACCTGCAAGTCACCGAGCACGCCGCGACGCTCGCCACCTTTGAGACCGAGCATGCCGCCAAAGGCGGCCAGTTCCTCCCGCTTTCGCCCTCGGCGGGCGCCAACGCCGCGCCGCGACCAACTTCGGCGCAAGTCAAGCACGACATACTCGCGCATTTTGACCGCGGCGACCGCGCGCAATTCTTCAACTTGTGGGACGCACACGTCCCCGACGCTGTGCGTGCCGCCGACGAGGCCCTCAGGCTCGAGTTTTATTCGAGCATCTACTTTGCCGTGTTCCCGTGCCACCAGCACGTGGATCCGAACGTGAGCAAAGTATGTACGATGCGATTGGAATGTCGCCGCCGGCGGGTTTCTGATCCGTGCGTGCGCCATGTTTGGTAGCTCCCGCTCGCCGCGACGCTCGACACATTCAAGGCCTTTCTCGAGACGCGCGGCGCGCAACTGTCCAAAACCGCTGAGTTTTTGCCCTATTATGCACTGCCGTATCTGCCGGACCCGAGCGTGCACCCGGCGTTTGCCAATGTCTTCACGGTATGCATCTAATCACTCGCTGATCGATCCTACGTACCGCTCATCCCCGCTGTCGACTCAAAAGCGCGAATGGGGCGCCGACCTGCGCCGTAAACTGCTCGACTTTGTCGCCGTGCACGTGCACGTCGTGACCCCCTCACGGCTCGCCGACCTGGTCCAGACCGTCGAGGAGGTGCAGGCGCGCGAGACGAAATTGATCAAGAGGCACCAGATCTTGCAGGCCGATTACCATAACCTGCTCTCGGTCGCGGCTGAATTGATTGGCGTCCTGGCCAATTCGCTGCACGGCGTGCCGGTACGTACCTCCCACGCTTGGCGTACGTTCGTGCTTCTCTTGCTGATGAGCGCCGTTCTTCTTTGCAGATCACACCCGAGTATATCACGAGCGTCGTCGAGCGCATGCAAGCGTTCAAGCGCGCGTCGGCGCCAACGACTGTGGCCGCTCGCGTCGGGCCCAAGTACTTGCAGTACGACTTGATTCGGCAGGCGCTGCTGAATGATTTGACGGCGAGTGGCAAGACCAAGGCAGTGTTGCTGCACGCGTTGCGCATGGTACGTTTGCGGTGCTCATTCTGACCTCGTCAGCGCCGGAATTGACTTGAATGCCGTGATGATAGCGCGTCACGGCGGCGCCCACTCCGCAGCAGCGCCGGCTCGTCGTCAAGACGTACATCGACTACGATGTGCTCGGATTTAGCTCCAACCAGGTCCGTGTGCAGCACCGTGTACCCGCCTTCCCTCGGCCACGTCCCGCTCACCCGATCCGCCATTGTGTAGCCGGCACTCGGTCTCTTCACGCACGCCGTCCCCGCCGTCCGCGAACAAGCCGCCAAGCTCGGCAACCTCCTATGCAGTTACTTTGCCGGCCGCGTCTACCTGACCTCCCGCCACTGCACCCCTCTCTTGAAAACCGTCCTCAACGCCATCAAGACCGCCGACCGTCCCGCGACCTTACAACACAGTCTCGGGCTGCTCGAGAAACTGTCTGTCCGCCGTGCCGTGCAATCGGTTCTGATCCACGCCGACGTCGTCCGGTTCCTCGTCGTCGGTGTGTTACGGGACCTGGACGCCGTCTCGGACGCGACGCTCATTTACGCGGCGGCGTTATTGATGAATTTGTGTTTGCGGACCGCGGGGCGGAAACGCGCCGCGGCGGTACCCGAGGCGGTCCTGGCGGCGGTCGTGCCGTTGCTGGAACATGATGCGCCGCTGGTGCGGACGTACGTGCATGGGATCTTATTTAGCGTGTTGGATGCGCCGCAGGTGGTCGAGCGGGCGCGCGCGATTGGGTTGCCAGAGTTGTTGGCCTGTTTGGTGGATGTCGGGCCGCCGCACGTGGCCAGGCAGATTCACCATGTGTTGGCGAAACTCAAGGACGGTACGGACCCCGCAGCTCGCATTGTGATGCGCCAGCAGGATGTGATGCTCACGCTCAGCGTCTTCTCGTAGATGCGCCCTTGGTCCCCGTCGACGAGCCCGACTCGGACGACGATTTAGGGGACGGTGACGACGACGCCGAAGAGGAAGGCGAGGACGATGACGACCTGGGCGGGTCTGACGACGGCGTCGACCCGATGGCCGAGTTGGGTGTGGCCGGCGATGAGCCCGTCGGCGACGAGTGTCTCCGGCAGTACGAGGCACAGGATAGCCGGTCGCAGGGCGCGCTCGTGCCGCTGCCGACGCAGGTGCGTTGCGCCCGTGTTTTTCGTTTCTCAGTGGTGGGGAGGTATTCATTCTGATTGGTTGATAGCTCCCGCGCCGTCCACCGAGCGCCGCGACCAACGCGTCCGTGCGCCGCCGGCCCACGTCGTCGCGGCGCGCGATGACGCCGGCGCCGACGGCGCCGGCGGCGGGCAACGGCACCGGCGGCGCGACACCCACCCCGACCCCTCCCGCACCCGTCGCGCGGCGTCCGTCGTCCTCGTCGGCGCCCCGATCCGCGGCCGGCGGCCTCGTTGCTGCCGCCGCACCGGCGCCGGCACGACCTGCACCCGCTGCTGCACTGGCACCGTCGGGGCTCCCCGCACCAACTGCCGCGGCCTCGTCGGGCCTGCCCGCGCCGAAACCGTCGCGCCGGCGCGGCGGGACGAATGGCGATTTGGCTCCCGCGGATCTGGTCGAGCTCGAGGCCGCGTTTGCGCCGCGCGCGGTTCTGGCGCGGTCCCCACCGGCGGCAGCGGCGGCGGGGGGCGGACTGTGAAAGTCGACTGGGACTGGTGGGGAGACTTGCGGGACTGGAATACAGGCCCATCGTGGAGAAAAGTGGGCTCGGGAGAGGGGGATTCGAGCAGGAAAGCAGTAGGTGATGGGAGGGGATCAAAGCGCAGATGAGAGCTAAATATGAAACGCGTCAGCGCGGGCTCCAGTAGCTCAATCGGTTAGAGCGCCGTGCTTATATGGGCGTTCCCCGTATACATACACGCACGAAGCAACGCGGAGGTTGCGGGTTCGAGCCCCGCCTGGAGCAGTGAGGTAATACTATTTGTTCAGGGTTTGTGAGCTGGCTGTTGTGACGGAGGTTTGCGACTGTTTTGCTGGTGTCGCCTGTCATGAATTTTGGTGGCACGAACCGTCATCGTTTTGCATTCACTTTTGGTGCGAGGTCAGATCAATACGTCAAGCTGGGTATGCAACTCGCGTGTGTATACAGAAGAAATCGGCCAACAACCAAAAATTCCCGTCGAGTGGAAACCAAACCAAAACCCGCTGCCCCTCACCACAAAATTGTCTCCCTCCCGATCCATCTATCCCTCTCCACCCATCATCTACCCGCTCGCCGCACCCGTCGTCGACCCGCCCGCCTTGCTCCCTCCACCCAAGACCTTATTCAACGCCCACCCGCCGACCGACTTGACCATCCCCGCCGGGGACGCAGCTCCACCCGTGACCGAATTCGCGACCGAAGCAACCGAGGCCATCGACTGGACGAGGTGGCCCAACTCGTCGACCGTCGGTGCCGGGTGCACTTGCGGCGGCGTGTAGGCCGCAGGCGCATACGGCGTCGCGGGCGGCGGCGGCGGCGCGTACACCATGCGCGCGTGCGTGTGCGCGTGCGACGCATAGTACGGGTACATGGTCGCGTGCGTTGGAGTCGGGGATGCGGCACCGGCGTCCCGCGCGGTCGCGGCCGTCGCGGGGGCGGAGGAACCGAGGGACAGGCTCGCGACCGACGCGGCGCGGCGGAGGACGGCGCCCGCGGCGGAACGGACGCGCGAGGTTGTTGAAACCGACGGTGCGCGGGGCGAACTGGTGGTCCCACCGTCTGGGATCGAGGTCGGTGGGGTGATGGCACTGCCGCCGGCGCCGGTGCCGGGGTAGTACAGGTAGTAGGGCGCGTAGGGCGCGTAGGGAAGAGGTGGCGCAACCGCAGCAGCCGTCGTGGGTGCGGACACTGGCTGGGAATCAGGTGGGTTCGTGGCATCCTCGTTTTCGTTGTCGTTTTCGGGTAATGCAGACTGAACGAGCGACCCGACGAGCGGGACGGCGCCGAGCTTGGACCGGACAGCGTAGGCGCGGTCGAGCGATTTCCACGCGGAGCCGACGAGGCCGCCGACCATGCTGTTGGCCGTCGTGGGCGCGGCGGGTGTCGAGGAGGACGGCGACTTGGTATTGTCGCGTTGCTGGTCGCCAGCGACAACCTCGTCCTCGTCGTCGTCCTCCGAGTCGGACGCATCGCTCCCGTCCCCGTCCTCGTCGGCCAACTGCACCGCATACGTGTCGCTCGGCAACCCGGCCGCGCGACACCAGGCGGCACGCGCCGCATCAAACTGGGCCATGGCGCGATCGAGCCGCTGCGCGCGCCGCGCCAGTTGATCTTCCTGGCGCGCAAGCCGGCGCGACCGCTTGTCGAGCGCCGCCATGTGCTGGTCAATCGACCGCGCGTGCTCGTTGAGCGTATCGGCGTCGCGGCGCAAAAGCGCGTGTGCGTGGTGCATGTCGTCCCAGAGGTGCAGGCAGGCGAGCGAGTGTGCCATGGCGTTGGTGATGGTCGCGTGCGCGTGCGGCAGCCAGCGCGGGTCGCCGATGGCGGGGGCTGCTGGGGTCGGTGCGCCGGGCATGGCGGCGGGGTGCGCGGCCGGCGGCGCGGCGTGCAGCGGGTGCATGGTGGTGGTGGTGGCGGTGGTGGTGGTGGTGGTGGTGGTGGTGGTGGTGGTGGTTGTGCTGGTGGTGGTGGTGCTGGTGCTGGTGGTGCTGGTGCTGGTAGTGATAGCGGGGAGGAAGGGATGGGTGCTCGATGGGACGCTCGCAGACGACGAGACGAGCTGGAAGCCGGAGCGTGAACGCGGAGCGCGCGCGCCAGGAACGCGAGCGGGGGTGGCGCGGCGGTGCGGTGGTGCGGTGGGCAGCACCACGTGCGCGGCTGGTGCGGCCACGTGTCGCGGGGCTTGGCGCGTGGCTTCGGCTGCGTTCCTGCTGCGCCCGGGCCGCGAACGCTGCTGCGCGCGGCCAACCCGGCGCGGGTTCCGCGGCGCGCGGCCACTTGGCCGTCGGTTGCTGTTGCGCGAGGTGAGGGGCGCCCCCGCTCGCGCGCGCAGGGCCGGTCGCCTGGCACGTTGGCGAGCGCCGCGCCCGGCCGCGCCGCTAAGGACCGCGTCGCCCCCGCCGATCTCCTGTCCTCTCCCTCACCTCTGTCGCCCGCGCGCCCCCGCCAACGCGGCGCACCAGCAAAGCGCGGCGGCCACCCCACGGCCCACGCACGCTCTCCCACCCCCGAGCACCCCGTCGGCCGCGACGGCACTGAGCCGCTTGCGACCCGCCTGCGAGATCGCCAGCGACCGACCGGTGGGCCCCCTGCGACCCGCCTGCGACCTTTGGGCGACCGGCCTGGGCCCTCGAACGCGCACGCGCCGCTCCCCTTTGCGCGCACGCGCCGCTCGCCCTTCGAGCGCACGCTGGCCGATCGCGCGGCGCCCGCTCCACTGCCTTCCACCATCGCCGACCGACCGACCGTCCGACCGACCGACCGGCCGACCGACCCACGCACGCCGCCCCGATCTGCCACTGCCCGCAAAGCACTGCCCGACCCGCCGACCAGCGAATCGGACCGGCCTGACCGGCGCGCCGACCAAGCGCTTCCGCCATCGCCATGCCCGCGTCCGCGTCCGAGTCGCCGCCCGCGTCGGCTTCGCCCTCGCCACCGCTGCACCCCACCACGCCGGCGCCGCTCGCGCACCCGCGCCGCGTCATGGATGCCGCCGCCGCCGCCGCCGCCGCCGCCGCCGCCGCCAATGCTGCTGCCGCTGCTGCCGCTGCGACTCCTGCATCCGGCCATGACGCCGAGATGGCCGACGCTCCTGCCGCCGCCGCCGCCGCCGCCGGGTCCGGCCACGATGCTGCCGCGATGACCAGCCCGCGCGCGACCGCGAGCCAGACGCCGTCCGCGACAGCCACGCCCGCCGCGGCGACCCCCATCACGACCACCGCCGGCGCGACCGGCGGTCCGGGCACCGCCGTCTCGACGCCTGCTGCGACCGCCGAGTTCTTTGCCGCGCACGGCGACGCGATCCCGGACTTCGTCAAGAAACTCTACCGCATGCTCGAAGACGCATCGTCGAACCACATCGTCTCGTGGGCCGGTGCGGGCACGTCGTTTGTCGTCAAGGACCCGGCCGAGTTTGCGCGGTCAATCTTGCCCACGCACTTCAAGCACAACAATTTCAGCTCGTTTGTGCGGCAGTGCAACAAGTACGCGTTTCGTAAAGTCAAGGCCGACGGCGCGCACAACGCCCACGGCGACCTGGCCTGGGAGTTCAAGCACCCGCATTTCATCAATGGCCGCACCGACTTGCTCGACAAGATTCGCCGGAAACCGCAGGGCGCCGCTGCTGCGAACGACGCTGCCGCGGCTGCAGCTGCGGGGACGAGCGGCGGGGCGACGACCAACAACAACAACAGTACCAACAACAACGATAACGCCGACGACCATGACCTGCAAGCGCAGATCGACCACCTGGCCCGCGCACACGCCGATATGGCCCGGTCCCTCCGGTCGCTCGCCGATAATTACCTGCTTGTCGCCGACGAACTCGGCCGCCTGCGCCACTTGACGGCGTCGCAGGAAGCGCTCATTCAGCGGCTCATGGACATGGTCGAGCACGCACCACCCGGGTCTGCAGCTGCTGCGGCACGCGCACATGCTGGGCGTGGTGGTACCAGTGGGAGTGGAGGTGGCCCGCCATCGCGGTCGGCCTACCCGCCGGCCCTGCCTGGTCCGGCCTTACCGCCGCTGCCGCCACCCCCTTCCTCGTCGGGCCCCGGCGCGAATACGGGCGCTGGTGGCAGTGGTGGATCGCGCCGGTACCTTGCGAGCGCGCCGCATTACGACCATGGTCCGCTTTCCACCAACCTTCACCATCTTTCGTTTCGTTGCCGCACTCATGCTGACGTGATCCACCGACTCATCTAGACGATACCTACGACGCCCCACCCTACGGGTACGACCCGGACTGGTACGCGCCGCCGCCGCCTCCACCTCCGCCGCCGCACGGCGGCCCGCCCACGTCGGCCTCGGGGTACGGCGGTCCGCGCGGCGCGCCGGCGCCGCCATCGCACCACCACCACCACCACGGGTACCACCAGCCGTACCACCACCACCACCACCACGCGCCCACTTGGGACGACGGGTACCGGTACCCGCCGCCGCCGCCGCACGCGCCGCACGACCGTGGGAACGCGCCGCACCGGTCGCCCCCCGACTATTCGGCGCCGCCGCCGCCGCCAGCCGGGTCGAACCGCGGCGGTGCCGGCGCGGCGCGCGGGTATGATGGGTATGATGAGTCGAATGGTGTCTGGCGCCCCGGCGGGCCGCGGGGGGACGAGTATGGGGATCGCCGCGGTGGGCCGGGGCGGTACGATGATCGGGAGCGGGAGCGCGAGCGGGAGCGGACGCGCGATCGCACGCGGCATGAGGATGACGATGCCGGGATGATTGGCGTCGCGCCGCCGCCCGCGCCGCCGTCGGCGCAGCAGCAGCCGCAGAAGTCGCAGCAACAGCGTCGCGCGCCGAACGCCGCCAACGCCGGCCCCGCCGTGCGTGCGCAGCCCACCGGCGCGACCGACGCCGCGGCCGGCAAGCCGAGTGACGCGAACGCGCTTGACTGGACGATGCCGCCACGCGTGTTACTCGTCGAGGACGACGACGTCTGCCGCCGGCTGTCTGGCCGGTTCCTGCAGCGGTTCGGGTGCCAGATCGATGAGGTCACCGACGGGATGGCGGCCGTGCACCGCATGAATGCCGGCAAGTACGATATCGTGCTCATGGACATTATGATGCCCAACCTAGACGGGTGTTCCGCGGCTAGCCAGATTCGCGCGTTTGATCAGACCACGCCGATTGTCTCGATGACGTCGAACTCGTCCGAGGCCGATTGCCTCGTGTATCTTGCGCACGGGATGAACGATATCTTGCCGAAACCGTTCTCGAAGGCGGCGTTGCGCGACGTCGTCGAGCGGTACTGCGCACACTTG